ACCAGGAGCGCGGAGAGTCCCTTCTAAAGGGAACAAACTCTCCATTGCACAAAGCGGCTTTCTCTCTCCCTCCTTCTCTGCACACCGTTTCTCCTCGAGAAGCATCAAGTTCTCCAGCACTCCAACTTGAAGTTGGCAACCCCACCGCTGCCCCGGGTGCAGAGGACCGGCGGGGAAGGGTCCCGGCTGGGCGGGGAGGCTCTGCGCCCCCATCCCTGCACACGCGGGCTGGAATCCTGGTTGCTGGAAGCCGCGGGAGGCTCCAGCCTGACTGGATTGTGGTGCTTATTCCTCTAGAGAAAAGAGGGGATAGAGAGCGCTTGTCCTGCACTTTGGGTCGGAAGTGCGCGGTGTGTGTGTGTGTGTGTGTGTGTGTGTGTGTGTGTGTGTGTCGAGGGGGCGGGAAAGAAAGGCACTCTCCGCTGCCTGTCATTCCCATGCACCGGCCAAGTCCTCGCCAAGCCTCCCGGTGCATCCTTCCTCCGCCACCCCCTCCCCTTCTTCTCTCAGCTGGGCTCGCGCGGCGCAGCCGGAGCAGCCAGTGAGAGCAACATCCTAGAAAGAGGGGGGAGCACTACCGCCCCCCCAAAGGGAAAAAAAGGCCCCACCCTGACACGTTTTGCAGTTTGCAAGTCCCCCGCACCCCGCCACCCCCACACCTCCTCCCCGCGCTCGCGGTCCCCCCACCCCAGTCCGCTGCGCGCACATCAAAGCTCCTCTCTGCCGCGCTCAGTGGCCGCGGCTCACTAATGGGATTGCAGGCTGGTGCCTGGCTCCGCTGCTGCCGCCACCGCTGCTCGCGCTGCTGCTGCCGCCGCCGCCGGAGCCCCAGCCCGAGCCCCCGCCAGCCCGAGGCCAGAGCCGCTGCGCCCAGGGGCCGAAGCCGCGGCGATGATCCGAATCTTTCCGGATTTCAGCGTGCAGGTGACGGCTGCAGCGGCTGGCGGGGCGGCCGCGGGGGTGCCGGCCGGCGCGGGCATGGGGAGGGCCAGCGCCGCGGCCAACGGCACCCCGCAGAACGTCCAGGGCATCACCTCCTACCAGCAGCGGTGAGTAGTCCCACCTGGGCAGGGAGAGTGCCCCCTCCTCGGGGCGCTGGGGTGGGACTCACTTTGCCTCTTGTTTTATGCCTTACAACCCACATGCACATCGCTAGGGCGCACTTTGCTTGCCCCTGGTCCTACCGATGAGAAAGAAAAATATAATCTGCAAGTCGGATCGAAAGGCCCTCCAATGTGCGGGCAAAGTGGAATCATCTTTTGCCCTCTGCCTCGCCCCAAACCCAGAGCCTCATCCCCGCGCAGCCAGAGAGTTGCCGCGAAGTCTGAGACACCGCACAAGGTGCTTTTGCAAAGTTTGGGATCCCCGTCCCCCTTCAGAGGTGTCCCTCCAGTGCCTCCGCGGGGTGCGGACGGTGCTGACCGTCAGCCAAGGCGGCAATTGATCACCGGAGGCTGATTGATCATTTGTTTCCAAACAGAATAGGAACGATTTTCACGTGTAGCTGTAGACTTGCAATTCTACATAATAGTGTTATCGTGTCACCTGTTACCACAGGGAAATACAGCATGAAATCCGAGTCTCTTCGCGCTGTTAAGTATTCATCTTAAACGCATTATGATGCAAATACCTAACATTCAGAGATGCGCGTTAGGAAGCACATTTTACAAAGTTAGGCTATGTGGTGAGAAGCCAGCAAGTTTGAAAGTATGGTTTGTTTGCATTTCTCCCATATATTTATAGATTTAAAAAAACCTTGACTTTGTGACATTTATATAGCAAACGTTCTTTGATTCACTTAGGAAACACAGCAAAAAATTTATTACCACCAACGCCCTAGAACCCTAAAGTTTTTCCTTAAGGACAACTTGTGATGTTCCAAGATTTTATGCAAAATGTAATCCACAAAGATATGGTGAGAGACACCAACAATGTGGGGTATGAAAGGTAAGCTCCCCATTTGGGGGGCTCCGTTTTTTTTTTTAGAAGATGGAGAAAAAAAGGAACATGCGAAAATGTGAAATTAAATATTTGTGTTTCCCAGTTTGCACACGATTAAACATCTGAGAAATTTGCCAATGGCATTTGACTTAAAATATACACAATGCATAATTCAAACAGTTCCTATTTTTACCTTGTATTTCCAACTTCATTGATTTGGGAACCTTTGATTTGAACCAACAGTGTTTAAACTGAAAAGGTTAAGATAATCTATCACTGCCATATTTTGTGCCTTCTAACCAATAGCCCAGCGACCAGAGGCGGTTTTGCATAACACAGCGAGTGCTTCCCAAGTTGATGCCCTAGTACTGCAAATATTCTGCAGAGACTTCATTATGTGATCTGAGTACTGTCGGAAGTTTCTAAAAGAGTCTTGAAAATAACTAAAAAAGAGGCTATGCCTCATCACAGAGATTTTTTTTCCTTTAAATTATTCTAGTCTTGTTTTACTTCAGTGATTACAAGAACCTTAAATACAAAAGATCTGGGAATGTTTCAAACATAAAGGACCTAGAAAAGAATGGGATTTTTCCCCATAGTTCAGGTATGTTATTTTGCCACTTGGAAAACATTTAAATGACAACAGACCCTGGTGGCCACTTTAACTAGGAAGTGCAGGCAATAGTCACAATAGTATGGACTGTGGAGGAGAGATAAAGGGTCAGAAATGTCAGGTGGCTTACGGGTGATTTCAGGGAATTCCAGGCATTGAGGGAGGTCACACATTCAGCCCATAGGTTTGTTCTCAGAGTGTTGGTGTCCTTCATCATGAAGATATTCCCAGGTCCTGTTTTCCTGCAAGTCAGGGGTACCCAGCAGGAACTCTGCACAGTCCCCCACTCGACACTGAAAGCTCACTGATGCCTTCCACCTTTACCTTTGAATTGGGGCCACTCCATCAAGCCATACGACCCACTTCTAGTTCTAAAGACTAAAGCTTAAAAAATAATCAACTCTAAAATGTAGCTTTTGGGATGTATTACTACCTCTCTTTTTATTTGACGGAAGAGAAGGTGCTAGCTTGTGAAAAATGCAACCTTTGGTTTTTTGACACTGATTTGATGACACCTGTTACTACCTTTAGTTTTAGTTAATTTGGAGACAGGAGAGTGAGTCATGTGGGGCGAGATTATTGGCAGGTGTTTGAGGGAGGGCCTGAGTCAGGAGCTAAGTCCCTGGTCCTCCGGCACTTCATCAGGAATATAAGCCACAAACATGTTAGGCTTTAGGGGGTATGAGGGGCAGACTTAGTTTCCACCTCAAGACCTGCGTATGATGGCTAAAGTGAATGGTGACAGCATTTTACCTTTTTTTTTTTTTTTGCATTAAAAACTTCTGGGGAATCTGATGAGGGAGTGACATGAATGGTGGTGGTGGTGGTTTGGGGTGGGGGTTCATGCAAAGGGTGACCTGTTTGGAGAACACAAGCTTCGCTCACTTGTCATCTTTGGGCAGAAAAGCCCTGGACTGGCTGGCCTGGAGTGGTCCAACTGGCAGCTTTCCCTCTTCCCTCCCAGCCCATGTATCTTGGACTCAGCACTCTCAAGTTCATTTTTCAGTCACTCTCATCTTCTCCTACCTGTAGAGTACACTCCAAAGAGAATTCAGACATCCTTGTGCAGATTAAGCACCCCTGCTATGAAAAACACATTTTCAGTTCCCACCTCTCAACTTCACTGGAATGGCAGGATCTAGTGGGACCCCTTTCCAGGTCTATTTTTTTCTTAAAAGTAAAATGCAAAGCCTCACACAGGGCTGATGTTTTCCTCCTGGCTCTCATTCATTCAAGTGCTTTGGGAGTCCTTTCCACTTTCCTATTTGACGTAACACTAATCCAAGTCTCTGCCCCCAAAGCCGCCCACACCCAGCAAGAGTGATACAGTGGAGAGAACGCTCTGGCCAGGGTCTACCCAGGTAACAAGATTCCAGCACTGGTCCCGCACCCAGTGGCACTTTCTCTAGGCCTTGCTGGGCTGCAAAATGGGGAAGGCAGCTGGACTAGATAGAACCAGACGCCCATAGTTCGGTCCAGCCGTGGTCCAGGTACCAGAACCCCAGGCAGGAGTGGCATTTGTGTGTAACTGCGTTTCAAGTCCTGGGGATTCACATGCGAACCCTGGGGTCTAAAGACACGTGTGGGCGAAATGCAGTTGCTCTGGCTTGGAAAACGCAGTGGCTGAGAGCCCGGGATCACAAGGTGCCCATGTGCTGCTGCCGCGCCCGCCCGCGGGGTTCGGGGGCCACCGGCTGGGCCCGCACACTCTCACCCGCGTTTATTCCCTAAGGGGCGCCCTGCACGGTGTCTGGACTGCAGGTTCCTCTGTGCCTTCTCCCCTGACCGTGATACTCCACAGAAGGGAAGTGTTCAAAACTGCAACTGAGTGGCGTTGTTGCGCCAGCAGCCGAGCTTCCCCGTCCCCGAGAGAGAGAGAGAGAGAGAGAGAGAGAGAGAGAGAGAGAGAGAGAGAGAGAGAGAGAGAGAGAGAGAGAGAGAAGAGAAGAGAAGGAGAAAGAGGGAGTGAGGAGGGGCAGTGGGAGGAAGAAGGAAAGAAGAGGGAGGAAGGGTTGGGGGGAGAGAAGGGGTGTGTGTGTTTGCATGCGAGCGAGCGCTTTGGAGCAAAGGAGCTGGAAAATGCCCAGAAATACTTTCACAGCGGTCAAGCTGGGAACCCCCCGCGTATCCTCCTCCTCCCCGCCCCTCCTGGCCTAGGCCCCGACCGCCCCCCGCGGGAAGGGTGTGCGCCCCACCTGCCGCCGGGCCAGCTCCGGGTGGCGGTGGTGAGGGGAGACAGGGGGGGTGTGGCGGCGCGCGGCGGCGAGAGCCTGGAGGCGGCGGGGCCCTGGGCCGGGCTGCCTGCGGGGCCGCGCCGCAGCCTCCCCCGCCGCCTCCCCCTCTGCCGCCGCCGGTCGCGGTCTCCACGCTGGGCATGTCTCGGGAGCCGGAGCGGCCCGGGCCGCGGGGGCTCTGCGGTGCATGGACGGCAGCGGCGCCCGGCGAGCAGAGGGAGCAGAAGGCGCAGGCGGCGGAGGAGGCGGCGACCTGCGGCGAGAGGCACCGGCGGCGCGAGGGGCCGGCCGGCGGGCGAAGCTCCGGCCGTGATACTTTTCCGTAGTCTCCTCGCCTCAGCAGCACGGCCGCCGCCACGGCCTCGGCCACGGGCACCGCTCAGCGCCGCGCACGCCCGCACTCACTCCCGCCACCCCACGCACACGCACACCCCCGCCCTCCCCACACCCCCCACCCGGGAGGGGGAAGAGAGGCAAAAAGTAAGAGAGGAAAAAAAATAGCAGGAAGATGGCGCCCACCAAGCCCAGCTTTCAGCAGGATCCTTCCAGGCGAGAACGGTAACACTTTTCTGTTTATTGAACCTGCCGCCTGCGCGGCTGCTCCCGCCGCCTGCGCCGCCGAGGTGGCGGGGCTCGCTCCGCAGCCCGCCTCCTGGGCCGCGAGCCCGCGGGACCCGGCTGCCGGCTGGCGGCGGAGCGCTCGCCCGCGGTCCCTGCGCGCATTGTCCGCCCGGCGGTGGCGGCGCCAGGCTCTCCGAGCAGTCGCACCAGCTCGGCTCGGCTCGACTCACTGACTGGAAAAAAAAAAAAAAAAGGAAAAGAAAAAAAAAGAAAAAGAAAGAAAAGAAAAAGAAAGAAAGAAAAGAAAAGCAAATGAAAAAAAAAAGAAAAACAAAAAAGAGAAGGGGCTGCTGTGTGCCGGGAGCAGCGGGGAGGGCGGGGGCCGGGGGATCCCCGGGGCCGCCGCAGATCCCTTGGCAGCTGCTCTCGAGGAAGGAATGAGGCTGGGGAGGGGGAGGGCAGGCGGGCGAGGGGGGCGGAGGAGAGGAGGAGGAGGAGGAGGAGGAGGAGGAGGAGGAGGCCGGGGGCGGGGAGCGCGAGCTCGCGCCAGGCCCCGGCTGAGTCGCCGCGGAGCGATCTGTGCGCGGAGCAGCTAGGCCGGGCCGAGGCGCCGAGCGGGGCGCGCAGCGGACGATTCCCGGCCGCCGGGGCTGCGCTCTGAACCTTGGCAACTAGTGGGACCCCTGCTTTGACCTCCGCTCTCCTTTTGCCTTCTTCACCGCTCCCCCACCTGCCCCCTGTGCCCCTCAAAAAAAGGAAAAAAAATAAATAAACAGGAAAACCCGCAAATTCAAATAGGCAACCAAACACCGAGATGTAAAATGTGCCAACAGTTGGAGCATCTGTGCCCCGTTAGTTACTGTTCTGGGATCTGTGTTTTAAAAAGTTCCTGGTGTGAATTGCATATCCAGGCCAGGAGCTCAGCCCAGCATGTCTGTTTGAAGTTAGTTAAAGTAAAGCCAAAGGAAAGAGGAGTTTGTATTCAAAATATCCCTCACCGTCCTTCCTACATGAATGGCGTTGTTAGGTTTCAGAGTAATAAGCACCCCCACGTGGTTTCCCCTCCTGCTGTCCACGCAGTCTACTTTGGAATTTTTTTTCCTGCTATTAATTGGCAGCGTCAATGACATTAATTGCGAACAGCATATTGGTTTGAGCAAAGCGATTATCTCTTTCCGTGGCTGAAGAGGAAATGCTCCATAGAAGTATGAAATGTTACTCATTGATTCATAAGGAAAACTACTAGGTTAGATGTGTGTACCATTCCCCCCACCCCCAGCAAAGATGTTTACTTTCCTCACAGGCTTAGTTTAAGTAAATTTGAAGATGAGGGAAGTTCTTAGTTGCAAATTTTATTTATTATTACACGGGCAGTTTAATTTTTGATACAACATAGCATTTAACCTATAGCTTATATCCAGAGAAAGCAGGGAAGTATTTAAACAACTTATTTATTTAAAAAGCTTTAGTTGCACTATTACTTGTTTCCTTCATACAGTAAGGACTTCAGAATGATCTGGGTTAAGGAAATAATTTTGTTAAGTAAGTACATACTAATTCAAAACTCTGGATAATTTCTATATAAATCATATACCTGAGAGTAAACCACATATAATTCAGCTTTTAAAGACGGTAAGTGTGTATGGCATTTGCTATCTGAAAACTCATAGCTAAAATGAACATTTCATATTCATGTTTTATGAAGAATTCACATATCAAATGCTTTTTTAGATAGAAAAAATTTATCAACATGATTATGATTACTTTTAAAATCAGATTACAATTTCCTTCCTTCCTTTCATCCTTCCTTCCATCCATCCCTCTCTCCCTCCCTTCTTCCTTCCTTCCTTCCTTCCTTCCTTGGATCTGTGGGTAGTAAATGTATTTACTGGGATGGCCCCAGTAATCTCTCTAGCAGAGGCCTATTTGTGTGCCATTTTGGGAATTTCTCTGAGATAGGAATCTTGAAGATAGAATTAATTTCTAGAGGAAACTTCATAGCCTGTGCATGAGTGCGTTCTTTATCACCTGTCTCCATTTGGCATTCGAAGAAGGTAAATCAAAGTGCGTGATTTGTTATTCTGCTCCACTTGAGAGCTGAACTAAATAACACTTGGTCTGAAATTCTGATTGAAGTTGTAGGAGGATATACTGTATTTAATTTAATGCCCTTTAATAGCATCTTCTTGTTCAGCTCGGATGCTGTCATTTTAAAGGTTGAATCGGAGAAGGTTTAACCTGTAGGGAGAGGGAGGAGTAATCAGGAGGTAGGGGGCAGAAGGAGCTACACAGACGAAGGAAAGAAGGAGTTATAAACTAAATGTTTCAAATAGTAATAACCACACACTTGGCCCGGTATTCAAACAGTTGTTTTATGCCCTGAGGGTTCACTTTGTTTTTAGGGTTTTTAAATGTTCTTAACACTTTAAGTGTAAACATTACAGACGTCAGTTGTTTTGGTTTTGTAAGGGGAAATGGGAAGTCAGATGGTTTGTTCAGGAGGGGTTTGTTTTCATAGTTACTTGTGAAGTAGAGGCATTTCACCCTGATGATCACTTTGTGCCTGGAACTGGCTGGGCAGTAGTATTATTTCTTAATAATGGTTGAACACAAATAGGTGCATAAAACATGACTTCCTGTGAAAACGCTTTGTCAAAGATTTTCAAGCTTTTTTACTTCATGGTGCACATAAACTAATTAGTAAAATTCTGTGGCACATCAAAAAACATTATTTTTTGCCAGTCTGACAAAAATAGGTATAATTTTGATTCATTCACAATGGATGGCTATTGTTGTGTTGGTTGTTGTCATTTTTTTTATTCGAAAATCAAAGGGAAAAGAGGTCAGTGCCCCTGACTAAACAGGCAGGTACTGCACCTTTTAAAAACTCCTGTAGCACACCGGTTGATAATCACTGCTTAAGTGATCTTCTCTCACTTACTTAAAAAACTGTTTTCAGATCATTAATTTCATTAAGGCATTTATGGACACTATGCTGCTTTTCAAATACACCAATAATCAAAAACGTACATAGAAAAATATATTTTGAATTGTCTTATATTTTTGAAATATCTGACCTGAGTATAAAAATGCAGTGAAATATTCATTTCCTTCTAATAATGCTTACAAAATTTACAAGAGGTTTTTCTCGATAATGTCTCTGATTACTATTTCATATTCCTTAAATTCCTCTGCTTCAGGCACAAGAGAAAATATATCTTTAGAGCCTGTAAAAAAACAAGTAGAAAACCTTGTGTGTTTAAACTTGTTTGATTTTTCTTTATAAACTCAAATAGGTTGCAAATTCTGTAGCACTACCACGGAGTTTTTCCACTATGGGGATGTATAACCAAGCAAATTAGACCGCCAGAAGTGTCAAGCATGTGATATGCCCGGGCTGGTTTGCAAAACCTATTTCTGTAGCACAGGGCTTTGGGTTCAAAAAGTAAAGGTGGTGGTGGAGACTGTTGGGGAGGCATTTCTTTCTACAGTGTAAGCTTAAACTCGGAGTGATAAATGATGATATACGTTGTCCAACACTTGCGTATATATAAATGGCCCCACAAGATTGCCTAAATGATAATCGAAAATATGAAATAGGATGGCCTTCATATCACAAGGCCAAGGGTCTACAAATGGAAAAACTGAAATAATGAAATATTTCCAAGGCAACAGACTGTCAACAAGAACCGTAATGCATGGGCATATCGTAGAACCACCGGAGAGGATATTAGATCGTATGGCTCCAGAGCCAGGAGTTGTAATGACTGTTGTTAGGTAGCACCCTCCCACATTACGACATCCTTTCCTGTTTCCAGTTCCTAATATATGAATCAGGAAACATATACGCTACTCCAAATCTGTAATGTGCCAATTACTAGGCTTGATTTGTTACAGTGAGCAAACTTGAATTCTACATCATTTGATGCTTTTGGTTTAAAAAAAAAAGTTACATGAGGTACTTTTAAAATTTTGGTCCTTGGGTCTTTACATGTTCTTGAAAATATAGCTTTTATTTTTACTTAAAGTTACGTGAAAATAATCTAACTCTTGGCAATGAATTGATCAGAATTACATCGCCGCTTAAATAGAATCTAATCATTGGAATAGCTTGGTATGTTGAGTGATAGAAAGTTTGATTTTCCCCTGAAATTCTTCTACATGATGGCTGCCCCTGCAATAGCGCTGTTTTATAGGGATGTCAGAATTTCCATGAGCCCCCTGGCTCTTTTGCTCTGACCCGGATAGTGGTCTGGAGTCCACTGGCTTGTTCAAATTGGATGAGATGCGCACCTTGCTCTGTGCTGAGGTTTTGTACAACCGAATAGATATGTGTATATATGTATTTATATAGGCATACACATACAACAGTATATATATGCATACATATGCATATAGGTACGTACATGTCTATTATCGATCTGTCTGGTCTGTCCAGAAAGTATCCAGCCACGCACTAGGGAAAACAGACATTTACTGAAGAAGATACGAGAAACATTGTACCTAGGACAGCGATGCCTCTGTCTCCTTCAAAGTAGGCACCTTCGGACTTCACGCAGTTCTCCCAATTGCTATCAGCTGCCCTGTTGTATTTTCCTGTTTCTCATCGAGAGTCTGAAATCTCTTCCTTTTCAAAGGTCGTTATAGTTGCAGGGCAGGATAGAAAAATCTGGGCTGTAGAGGAGCTGAATCACTTGGATGATTTGGTGTTTTGCCAAAAAACTCTGCATGAGACTTGACGTATGAGTGGGCGTGTTGTTGTGATGAAGCTGCCAATCATTAGTTGCCCATAGCTGTGGTCTTCTGAATCATCTGAATAGTTTCTGCAGAGGAATGTTCGAACTTAACGCCAAATTTGATACAGATTCATTAAGCCACTAATTCAGTCCTTTTGAATACAATGACCACACAGTACACATGCTCAGTCAACAGCATCTACCGCCCTCACTGACTAGTACAGTGAAGTCATCACTGTTCACGCATGTGCATTCCAGTCC